TTCACACTGCTGCTCTCACATATTTCATTTGTTCTTACGTAATACACATTTGAAGGCGCTGTGTGTTTCGTTGTGAAAGCGACGTGTTTGGTCTTCCAAAAGAGGACACGACTAGAAATCAGTGGTTAAGTTGTATTTACAACACTGTTCCAGAACACTTCAACCCAAATATTCAGATGTGTGCAGCGCATTTTATGGAGGACTGTTTCCTGATCCTGGGAGAGTAGACTACAATGCCGGCTCTTCTGACTCACAGACTGTAAGTACATTTTTTATATTGATTGAACTGAAATTTCTGCCATCGTTTACTCGCCGTCATGTTTATATTCCAGCTATTTGAGTTGACACTGGCAGAGTTATATTGGCTTTGAAATAAGAGAATAAGAGATTCATTTCAGTTGTTAGGAGTTTTCCTCCCTCATTCCATTCTGTAAATTCATTCTGTACCAGTGAAATTTCCCATAAATCTTTGGGTGAGTCTATTAGCCCACTAGCCATTGAGCTGGACAGCCATTGATCATAAAGACAAACTCCAGTACTCCTTCTCCCGACAGTACATTCATTTTCCCCTCATGGTGTATTAACCATTTTTCTGTTTTACTCTCATATTTTATCCATGCAAAGCAGATGTTTTTGACTTGACACCTTGTTTTAAGAATGCAATGCTGAAGATTAGAGAGGCTGATAAAATAGCGAGGTGTGAAAGAAAGCTGCCGCAAATTGCTGTGAGAAACATCATTTGCATTTGAATATAAAGTTAGTAAGTGAGTTTTGATCAGTTTCTGATGTTCTTCCACCAGTCCAAATAACTTTCCACATTTACACATAGTAATTTTACTTCATAATGTGAGAGAAATGCTCATACTGAGCCCAGTTATTAGTACCATAGGAAACAAATTGTTTACAATGTGCCAGATGTATAATGAACTCTTTTGAGTAAGAAATAATCACCGGATTTACTAAGATATTGCTTTTTGCAGGTGCTATTGTGAAATATGTATATTCTTTTTCCTCCTCTGGACACACTCTAAAAAAATCCTGGGTTATTTTTTTAACCCAAATGCTGGGTTGAGCCTTTTGGGTCATTTGTTGGGGATATTTTTTCAGTGGTTGGGTAGTTTTTGTGTTACCCAGCTCCTGGGTCAGACATAACAACCCAATGTTTGGGTAGTTTTAGTGTTACTCAGATCCAGGGTCAGACGTAACCCAGCGGTTGAGTTATTTATCACAGGGATTTTGCGTCTTCACTTCACGAGAGAGCCGTTCTAAGCGCCATTGAATTGATGCATTCTACACTCTAAAACATGCTGGGTCAAAACAACCCAACCGCTGGGTCAAAACAACCCAATAGCTGGGTTTGTCCCTTTTTAACCCAGCGCTGGGTTATATTTAACCCAGCATTTTTTAGAGTGTATGGTAAAATACAGGCTTGTGTACATTTTATTTTATCTATAAAATCGTTACTGTGCTGTATATCATTAAATTTTATGCAGAGCAGCATACAGGCGCACGATGTGAATCAACTTTAACGAGTGTCGCAGTCTTTTCGTGTGATGGAAAAGCCTGATGCTTTGCATAAAATAAACTATTTTATTCATAAAGATACAGAATATAATACTATGTCTGGATGTTAAAACATGTCCTCAGAGCTGTTTATTGTTTGTTTATTGGCAGGTTATGGAGTCACAGCATGTTTCGGCTAGAGTGGAACGCAGGGCGGCGGTCCGTTAGCATTTCCCCGCCGAACACGACTCCAGCTCGGGCACGAGAACCAGCGCCGTTACGGTGGAAACAGAATAACAGAGACTGGCCGATTACACGTGAATTACTTCTGTTTAACGTTGAATTTTTCTTCAAATGTTTGTTAAACGAGTTTAAATATAGGCAATATGTATAGCCTATTAAAAACGATATAAACAATGCTGTAAATGTTAAATAAAGGAAAATAAAGGAAGTTATCATGCAAACCAGTGGTTGTGTGGAGTATTTTTAAAAAAGTTTAGAGGATTTAAGTTAATCTGTAAACATTATGTAATGTATGAAGTTAAAAAAAAAAGCTAGTAATATAGTAAAAACTAATAAAACCATTATGCTGGGTTAAAAAAACAACCCAATTTGCTGGGTAAATTTAACCCAAGATGGGTTCTGTCCTATATTTACCCAGCCCTTGGGTTAATAACAACCCAAATTACCTCAAGAATACCTCAAGCGTGTGACGGAAATGTTACGCCCCTCACCATATTGTGATGCCGTGTCCGGCCGGAGCGACGAGACAAAAACATTAAAACCCATTACAAACATTTGTTGCATCCAGTGGGGACATAAATACAGACTATAATGACTTATACTGTCTTTTTACGCATTGCATCGCGCAAACATAAAACCATGTCTGCATTTGTGATCGGAGAAATGACAAACAACAAGCGCTACTCTACACTGCCAAAAAACTCGCTTTAAATATATAAAATATAAAAACTCTTTAAATATAAAAAACCTACTTACAGTCTGTGAGTCAGAACAGCCGGCATTCCGAGATCCGAGGATCAATAAACAGTCCTCCATAAAATGCGCTGCACACATCTGAATATTTGGGTCGAAGTGTTCTGGAACAGTGTTGTAAATACAACTTAACCACTGATTTCTAGTCGTGTCCTCTTTTGGAAGACCAAACATGTCGCTTTCACAACGAAACACACAGCGCCTTCATGACATGGCGGCGGCAACAACAATACTACAGCAAGAATAAAAGTTACGCCTTCTTTCTTTGCGTGAACATTTGGGCGGCGTTATGCAAATCTTCCCACATAGTGAGGTAGACATGTGGGGGCGTGTTAGAACGAGGCATTTTAGGTAGGCGTGGCTGACTCTTAACTTTTATAAAGAATATCTTTTTGGATTTGAGACTTTAGTCTTTGCAACTTTACAGATCTTCTTTATGCACCAAGAGCTTGTAACACTCCAAAGAGAAAGGAAACATTGGAATCGCATCATATGACCCCTTTAAACCAGTGTTTTTTAGAGTGCAATAACACACTCGGTGCATCCGAAAGCACTACTGTCTGAGTAGGTACTACATGAATTTGAATTTAAACTTACTTGGCAACCATTAAAAAGTATGTTCTATATAGTATGAATATGGGTATATGAATGAAATTCAGAAATACTACATCCACCATGTTGTTACTGTCATGTGACTTACCAGCGTCAGTTGTATTGCTTCACTGCCATTCATAAATCCCCTACCGTGGCCTCATGGGATAGTGCACTTCATAATCTGACTGGAAATAATAGGTCATAGAGGTACTTTTCACCTACTGTTTTTCGAATACTATGAATTCAGACATGCTAATTGTTTGGCACACTGTTTTTTGCAAATAGAAGGGAAGTATTTGGTTTTGGACGCAGCGACTATACTTATATTAAGTATGCCGTGTCCGGCCGGAGCGACGAGACAAAAACATTAAAACCCATTACAAACATTTGTTGCATCCAGTGGGGACATAAATACAGACTATAATGACTTATACTGTCTTTTTACGCATTGCATCGCGCAAACATAAAACCATGTCTGCATTTGTGATCGGAGAAATGACAAACAACAAGCGCTACTCTACACTGCCAAAAAACTCGCTTTAAATATATAAAATATAAAAACTCTTTAAATATAAAAAACCTACTTACAGTCTGTGAGTCAGAACAGCCGGCATTCCGAGATCCGAGGATCAATAAACAGTCCTCCATAAAATGCGCTGCACACATCTGAATATTTGGGTCGAAGTGTTCTGGAACAGTGTTGTAAATACAACTTAACCACTGATTTCTAGTCGTGTCCTCTTTTGGAAGACCAAACATGTCGCTTTCACAACGAAACACACAGCGCCTTCATGACATGGCGGCGGCAACAACAATACTACAGCAAGAATAAAAGTTACGCCTTCTTTCTTTGCGTGAACATTTGGGCGGCGTTATGCAAATCTTCCCACATAGTGAGGTAGACATGTGGGGGCGTGTTAGAACGAGGCATTTTAGGTAGGCGTGGCTGACTCTTAACTTTTATAAAGAATATCTTTTTGGATTTGAGACTTTAGTCTTTGCAACTTTACAGATCTTCTTTATGCACCAAGAGCTTGTAACACTCCAAAGAGAAAGGAAACATTGGAATCGCATCATATGACCCCTTTAAACCAGTGTTTTTTAGAGTGCAATAACACACTCGGTGCATCCGAAAGCACTACTGTCTGAGTAGGTACTACATGAATTTGAATTTAAACTTACTTGGCAACCATTAAAAAGTATGTTCTATATAGTATGAATATGGGTATATGAATGAAATTCAGAAATACTACATCCACCATGTTGTTACTGTCATGTGACTTACCAGCGTCAGTTGTATTGCTTCACTGCCATTCATAAATCCCCTACCGTGGCCTCATGGGATAGTGCACTTCATAATCTGACTGGAAATAATAGGTCATAGAGGTACTTTTCACCTACTGTTTTTCGAATACTATGAATTCAGACATGCTAATTGTTTGGCACACTGTTTTTTGCAAATAGAAGGGAAGTATTTGGTTTTGGACGCAGCGACTATACTTATATTAAGTGTTGGGGAAAGATACTTTTAAAAGTAATGCATTACAATATTGTGTTACTCCCTAAAAAAGTAACTAATTGCGTTACTTAGTTCCTTTGGTAACACTTTAGTATAGGGACCAACTCTCACTATTAACAAGTTGCTTATTAGCATGCATATTATTAACATATTGGCTGTTTATTAGTACTTATAAAGCACATAGTAATGCCTTATTCTGCATGACCGTATTCTACATCTGTAACCCAATATCTAAACTTAACAACTACCTTACTAACTATTAATAAGCAGCAAATTAGGAGTTTATTGAGGAAAACATCAAAGTTAATGGTTTGTTAATAGCAATAATTGGATCTTAAAATAAAGTGTGACCGTTACTTTTTATGGAAAGTAAGTACTTTTTCATTACTTTTTTCTCATCTGGCCTGGGTTTGCTTGTTTGTTTTTAAGTCCTATTTTTGGGGGAAATGTAAAACCCCTTTCACACCAAAAGTGAAATGAATAAGCCTCAAACACAAAAATAAATAAATAAACAACCAAAGACAAATGTTTATCTATAGTAATTTTTGCTTATTAGTACGGTTGAACTGGATCATTGAGGTCAGCAGCAAAGACATTGGTTAATAGAATGGGATTAAATACATAAAGGATATCTGTGTTATTTAACATATTTAATTATTGCAGGTTTGCGTCATATTCTGAGTTTGCATTTGACTGTTTTTATTCATTTTGAGTAATACTGAATCTGTTTTTGTGCGAGTGAGACGAGTAAATGCATGTTAACATTTAGTCTAGATCTACAGTAACATCGTGTTCACACAATGCCTCTGCGCTCACTCCTGATTTCTCTCAACACGAGGACAGGAGAGCTGTCAGTCAATACATGAAAAAAAGAAAAGTAACTGGCGTTACTTATTTGAAGAAGTAAGGGCATGTGACACATTCATAGTGCATGCACAGATATCAGAGAGATAATCGGATAATACAACAGAGAGATGGAGTTTGTGAAGGAACTGCATTCGATCAGATAAACACTACTGAAATCATTTCACACACACAGCAATGAGACGTGAGTATTGCGTGTGTGTGTGTGTATTTATGTGTGTCTGAGGGAGATAAGTGTTGACTTGCACAATGGTGGTTTAATTGACAGAGCAGAACTATGAATAAATTAATGCGAACGAACCACAACAATTACAAAAAAATAAATTGCATTGAAACGCACGGCTGATAATGAAAATTAGAATTACAAATCAAAAATGTTCACAGAAATTTACTGAACTGGTCAATAGTGAAATAGACTTCATAAACTTCATCAATCAAACTTGTAATCAAATTAATCACACGATATGCTGGTAGATTGAATCAAATTAAATCACAGTTAATTGAAATATCTGATGAAGAAAGACCCCAAATAATAATTTAAAAAAGTTACTGTAGCAGACAAAAGAACTGTTAATCTGTGAAAACATGCAGATGTGTGTCTTTTGCCATTGTGTCACATTTCATTTGACTATGTTAACAATTGTAAATGGACAACCACAAAACAGGGACTTCTGATTACATGCAATTAAGATCCAGCAAGTGTCAGAACTAAACAAGAACATGACGTGTGAGGTTGGTGATTCATTTGCAACAGAAGTTAAACTGTAAAACTGATTGATTGAAATGTTCATTTTGTGTGTGTGTCGAGTCAATAACTTGCATTTCTCTGTGAAGCTCTCCAGATTGTCCAGCAGATTAACCATTACCAATGCAAGAAATGTTAATATTGTACCGTTGAATTCTTACTTCTGTGACTGTAAACTCTGTAATCTTTGTCTTTTCCGAAGAGATCTTGTAAAAGTGTAAAACAAATAATGATATGATGATAATCAACAAACAACATTAAATATAAAGAGGATTTTTACATTTCAACATACACACAAAAAAAATCTAACAAACACCACAACAACAGCATAAAATAAAGTCTGCAAACTGCAAACAAAAAGCCTATAATGTATTCAGGCTGCACTGCATTATTCAGTATGAAACTCTTTGTTCAGAAAACAGGCAATATGGTATATGTATTATTATGTATGATCATATATTTTTACAGTGTACACAAGCAAATTAGTATCCGTCTTTCAGATCTTGGATCTGAATTAGGGTGTATTTTAATATTTCATACACTGAATAAATACAAAAATGGGGTCAACTCTGGACAAATTACAGACCAGTTGATTTAATTTACACTAGAGGCACAAACTGATGTGAGAAGTTCTGTGAATTATGTGAAAATGTGTGTGGTAGCAATATTAAATGAATGTATCAAATTCAAGGTATCTTGACAGAAATTCATTTCCTTGTAGATTATGGCGAACTAAAGGCCCACTGCTGAGAAATGCTGAGCTAATTGTTCTTTAGCTGATTGCTTATTGAAAACAAATTAAAAACCATCTGTGTTTCTTTGCAAGTAACTCACTGGTTGCTGTAATGCAGTTAATTATTCATTGGTCTACATATAAAAAATGCAAATGTATTTCTGAAGAAGAGAAAATTAGGTTTTTGTTTGGGAACATGGTGTTCAGATAACATTGTGAAGCAATAATCACAATAATTAAATTAAAAGCTATTTATTTTCCAAGAACTCATAAACCACGTTTCACAGTGAACACAATTGCAACCCAAATTCACTTTGTTTCCTTTTCCTACCATTTTAATCAAACTAAGAGCTTTGCTTTAAACTGAAGCGGTATTAATCAAAGCCAGCCACTCCAAAGACATTGGGCTGAATTAGTGCTGTGTATTTGAAGCTGGAACAACCTGCTTCATCAAAACATATTTACAACAAAATAAATCTAAGTGCTTGAATGTACCACAGGCCTTGTCATTTAAAACATTGTCCAGCCCAAACCGGAAAACAATTAAGAGGAGAATTTATTGAAAAACATCAGTCATTGCCATATGTCGAATCTCAAAAACATGTCCAGGTCACATTTCACCCCAAAATGAAAGATTTATTACAAACAACTCATCTTTATCTGTAACAACCATCTAATTATAGTGTTATAACATGCTATGGCTGTTTCTCTAACTGGATTTAACTCTTACATGGTGAATCAATTTACAAATCTGTGTAAACGGTTAATAAAGTTCCACATCTTTTGTCACTTTTGTTCTCATGTGGATGCCAGGTCTGCTCAGAGATCTGACCCATCACAGCAATGCAATTATTAATATGTTTCACTCCATCATATTTCCATTCCCACCGCTCAATAACAAACTAATTAAGTGTAAATGAATAACAGATGCTGGGTATGACAAGACATTTAATTAAGCAATCAGAAAATGATACATATTTGGTGTGTGTATCATGCCGAGAAGATGAGAAGATCCTATTTTATACATTGCTTAAACCAGTAGATGAACTCAAATGGTTTGATTAATGTAATGTATGCATTTCCTATTTAAACAGGAAGTTTAGTTGGGGCATATAAAAAAAAATAATCAGCATACTGGCTTGCTATTGCTAGACAATGGTACATCCTCGTTCTGGAAAAAAAAAAACATTTTACGGGACAGTATGTTTATGTGCTAAAAGTTGTTGTCAACGTGTCAGCTTTTAGGAGTAAAAGTGCTCAAATTTTGTTTCTACACTATAGTTCATAGATGACCTCAAAACTAAGAGACGTAGACTAAAAGATATCTTTAAAAAAGCATCTAAAATTATGAATAGAAGGAGTTTTAATATCCGGGAAAGTAAATGTGAAGCATCTCTTCTTATGACAGCACGGATCTAAAGAAACAAGTCTTCAGACACAGAATTCAAATGTAAAAAATAATTCATGAATCTATAAAACTTTTCTCAGTTCTGTAAGAAAATAAAGGACATTCACGATTCAGGAGCCCTCTACTGAGAACTAACCTCAATGTGCTACCAGCCCTCAAACATTTAGTTTGTGGCTTTAGTTGTTTAGTCTTTTGTTTGTGCTTTTCTACAAAAGATGCATCTTAGTTGAGGATGAAAAGAAGCAGCCTAGTTTTCTAGCTGTGATTTGTGCAGTAGGCAAATGTTTGTGAGTTCAGATCTTCTGGGTTCAGCTCTATATCAACAGTATTTGTGGCATAATGTTGTGACATAATGAATACCACTGAAAATTATTTTGAGATAAAAACAAACAAACAAACAGGGTTAACTGGAGTTGTATGTTCTGTAGACTTTAATCTGCTATTATGACTATTCAAAGCAGAAATGCTGATAACTTTGGCACAATAACCAGGAGGACAGCAGAAAGGCACTGTTTATGTAAATGGAGGCGGACGCTTGACAGGGATGGCAAGCGAGGCAATCCTCCAACAGTTCAGGTTTAACATTTTAGAGTTATTGTTTAAATCAGTTTAAAAACAAGTACATCAAATCCTAAAATGGGGGGGGGGGGGGTTATAAATAAGTGAATATGCTGAAAATAGAGGCCACTTACAGAAGCACAGCACCTTAAAAAAATAAATATAGATATATAAATTACGGAGCCCCTAACGGGACCTTTGCAAAAATAAAAAAATACACAGACTATCGTGTGCTCACGAGAGAGAGAGAGTGTGCGCGCACTTAAAACGCTAAAAATGCTACGTGAAATCTAATTGACTGAGAGGGAACTGCACTTGGAATCCTTTTGACAATCAAAGATGGATCTTTAATTTCGTTACAATTTAATATTAAGTCATATTAATCAATAGTATATTAGAAATGGCTGGGATTGGGGTGCTTGGATGATTTGTACAAATAAATAACCTAGTAGTCTGTCTGTCTATAACTTGTTATTCAGCGATTTATCTAAAAATAACATATTATAGCCTATATGGCTCTTAAGACACACTGCATATAAAAGATTAACGCTATGTCATATTATGTGAGATACCTCAGCTGAATTTAAAATCAGTGCAATGAATTCTCAATCTGTACAATGATGCCAATAATAAGTACAATTATAATGTTTTCGATCAAATCCACATTCAAATGCAAAATGTAAATGATGCACAAGATATAACACAATAGATGCTGTGATAGAATCGCTGGTTGGACATTTATTGGGAGTTTGTTTTCAGGTCTGATTTTAGTTAGATTGTTTTTTTCATGAAAACCCACTTCATATTAGCTACACATTCAATGGCACTCTCCTCTAAGACAGTGAATATACAGTTATGTGACAGTTAGCTTACAGAAAATTACATTGTCTGCAAATTCATTAAACCCACAAAATATAATGATGTTATGATAAATATGAAAAATTCATTATGGTGGTATTTTTGTTTCCACATTTTAATTATTTAGGTTTATATATATATATATATATATATATATATATATATATATATATTGGACTAAATTCTATTTTCATTCTTATTTCTTTGTATCTCATCAACTGTCTTTCTTGATTTTTTTTATGAAGTCATGCAAAAGTGCTTTCATCATTAAACAGTAAGCACACCAAAGACTAAAATATTAACAGAGTAAGCTTTTTTTGTGACTTATTTTCTAAATTTCTGCCAAGCATGAGTCATTTTTGAGCAGGCTGTGCATGAAAGTACTGTAATAAATGCAGATATTGAGTTCCCAGCAATGTAGCACAACATGAATAAATTATGCAGATCACTGTCTTACTGTTTAAGTGGATATTTTTTACAGTTTGCTGTTTTTACTTACGCTGATGTTGCTGCATTTAAGATCAGTTTCATTTATTACTCATGTGGTGATTATTCAGAACTTATCTTTAACTTCAACTTATATTGGGGTCTGTGCTGCATGAAAGAAAGGAAGGAAGAAAGAGAAGGGAGTCACACAAGTTTGGGATATTGACAAGAGTGTGTAAATGTTGAGAGAATTTTCATTTTTGGGTCAGCTGTTCCTCTGATGTCCGTTTGGAGTCTGGCCTGTTTTGTCCTCTGCAGTGCAGTGAGAGCAGTTCTCTTGTTTTTATAATCATTGACTATTTTCTGTTATTTTGTGATTGTTTTTGACTTGGTTCTCAATTAGATTTTTTGTTATTTTTATTGATGACTGTTTTGCCTAATTTGCTTAAATGATTTATGTCAAATGGGTCGTATCATACTTTTTTATATTTTATCCTTGATACATTACAGTATATCATCACACAAAGTATATCATTTTAAATTTAACCTTATTTTCCTCTGTCTGTTCAATGTAGCTGTTAACTATCTGTCAAGCATACATTGATGGATGGATGGATGGATGGATGGATGGATAGATAGATAGATAGAGATTTCCCTCTGTCTGTTCAATGTAGCTGTTAACTATCTGTCAAGCATCCATTGATGGATGGATGGATGGATGGATAGATAGATAGATCAATAGATTTACCTATGAAGGTAAATGGAGTACATTGATCTCATTGTCATGAAACCAGCTTCAGACGACATTTGTTTAAAGATAATAAAGCCATAATGGGACTTAATTTTTACATTTTAAAGATGACTAATCAGTATTAATATCAAGGGCCCTAATGCATGCCAAGAAAATTCCAATATACTACCCCGCAGCCTGATCTGTTGACACAAAGATGGATGCATAGATGTATGTTATTTATATCGAAGTCTAACACTACGTTACAGCACAACCAAAGAGTCCCCTAACCAGGTGTTTTTCCAGTCTTCTACTGTCCAGTTTTTTTTGCCACCACAGACGCACTTTCATGATATTAGCTGTCAGGATTGGAGGTCATACAGAGACGCTCTTCTGCACATCACTGTAGTAATGTGTGGTCTGCCGCTCTCCTGTGACACCTTGCATTTACAAGCCATTTCCAGAACTGCCGCTTACTGCATGTTTAGTTCTTTCCATCACTGTCTGTAACCTCTAGATGCTGTTGTGCATGAAAATATTTACCACATCACTTCAACCACGTTTATGAATAGTTCAAATAAAATCAAGTAAAAATATAGATAGTCACATCAAGTCCCATTTATTTATATAGTGCTTTATACAATACTGGTTGTGTCAAACCAGCTTTACAGTGTCAAACAGGAAAATAGTTTGTCAATAATACAAAACGACAATAACAGAGTCATTCTTCCAGTTAAAGTCAGTTAATTGAGGATTCAGCGATGGCATGATGCAGTTCAGCTCTCTTCCAATAGTGTCTTTGCAATCAGTCAAGCGTTCCTAACTAAGCAAGCCAAAGGCGACGGCGGAAGGAACCAAAACTCCATCGGTGACAGAAACTGAGAAAAAACCTTGGGAGAAACCAGGATAGATAGTCCTATGTTTAGGACTGATTTGTTTTAGTTTACCCCAACAGGACCTCGCCCCTATTTTGATAACTCCGTCCCACACATACGTACACAACCCTGCCTGCCGGCCGCAGCATGTTCAAGCAAAAGCCAACACAGAAAAGTTCACGAGTTCACACATATAATGAACAGAGTAAAGGTTATGCATATTTGGCGTGCTGTCCGGGGAGAGGGCTCCGAGCTCGGTAATTACTCTCGAGCCCGGGGTACTCCCCCTGTCCGGGGAGAGGGGTCCGAGCTCGGGTCTAAGCCCGGACCCAGAGCGCTCCCCCTGAGTGTTCCTCACCGTGCTGGGGTAGGAACGGGCTAAAGGTGAGGAGACGGGGTGGTGGAGGGATGCTGAAAGACTAGAGATAATGGAGGTAAGGCTGCCTTGATTATTTATAGAGGTTCTCTCTTGTGCTAATTGGATAGATGGTGTAATTACTGATGATGGACTGGCCGTGTTAATTATCTGCGCGTGCTCCTCCCGAAATTTGTTAATAAAACATCACTTGTGTGAAAAAGCAAAATCAACGTAACTCACGATCAAGAAGAAACAGAGCAACCTCGGCGTCCGATTCCAGGCCTTCCCACTCCATGAGTTTCTCCACCGCTGGAAAGCAGCTCCAATAATTACACGGGTCCTACCTCTTGCCTGATCGTAACTAGTGGTCGACCGATATGGGTTTTTTGACAGCCGATACCGATGCCGATATCTTGGAAAGCAGGGTGGCCGATGGCCGATATAATTTTATTTATTTTAAAGGGGTCATATGATGCGATTTCAATTTTTCCTTTCTCTTTGGAGTGTTACAAGCTCTTGGTGCACAAAGAAGATCTGTAAAGTTGC